TAAAAGTTAATTTTATTTTACCTTGTTATTTTTCTTATTTTTTTTTTGTTTTTTGTCATAAAATATAAATATCAGGCTATAAAAGAAGCAAATGAGTTGGTAAATAAAACAATACTATTTTTTATTACAATTAATTTATTTATTATACAAATATGTTGTTTTATATTCAATATTTATATCTAATAATAAATTATATACCACATGTTAAGTTTAAAGTTCTTTAAATCATAATTAATAGATATGACAATAAACCTCATAGTCGAATCGGGAAATATCATGCGGTATAGCGGTAATACGATGGCAGCAACATTTTTTATTAAGTAGGTAATAAACAAATATACAACATTCTTGTTTTGTAATTTAATAATATAATGTATTATTAAATTACAGTTTTACAGTAATAAACAAGTAAAACATGTAAAAAATTACACTGTCAACATAATATTTCTTGAAATGGGCGACTTTTTGTCGTTTGAACTTCCATTAATTATCTATTTTACGACGGTTGTTATAAGGTTCAATATTCAGTGGGCTGTATGATAGTAAAAAGAATGTGACGAATGCTATGGAACGATTTTAACTTTCATGACCTTTAGAATCAGGGAAACTTTAAATTAATTGAAGATGGGCGTAAATATAATATGTCAATCAAGTTCGAAAGCAGTTAAATAAATTTGTTAATGAAAAATTAAAGTGAAGTGAATAAACATGTTGAATAGAAAGAAATTATGACAATTTCTAACCACAAAACAATAACATCACTTCACCGTATGTTCTAGACAGCATTTTAATATTCTTAAAAAAATTAAACATTATTTTATGTTAATTTTAATAAAGGCAGAGTTTGACAGGCTCAATAATTGATTCCGAAATCAATACAATCACTGATCCTACAAGGCAGAAGGTTGCAATTCGTATACCTTTCTCCATCTTTTCTTCACAATATTTTACGCCCATCCTTATCCGACTTGAAAGTCTTTTCGTCGCTCAATATGATTACACTGTTCGCCCAATCAAAGTAATAAAGTCCTGAGCAAATTCTTAGCGCTTTTGCTGGTGAACCACAGATAACAATATTTTCTTCTCTGGCTTCCTGCACCTTAAACCAGAATGCAAGTGTCTCCGTACAGTTTGTATTAAAACATTCAGTGCTGTCGCTGTAGTGCGGGTTGGCAGGAACGGATCAGCCATGTGCCTGGCTACGATGTCGTAGTGCCGAGCCGATGAATTTGCCTTTGGTTTAGGCCCACGTCGACGATGTTTAACGTCACCGGTCTCCGCATATCTGTGCACCCATAACTGCATGGATCTCCTCTGTTGATACCAAACAAATAAGTATTTAAAATACCAGGAAATACTTTACAGGAATTAAAGTTATTTAAAAATAATAATAAATATAAGTAAACACAATGTTAGAATAATAATTTATAATTAAGTAGTGGCGTAAGGAATAAAAATCCCTAACCAGATATGTTTTAAAGAAACACTCCTAACAAAAACAAGTCAAGTTACAATACAATTAATAATAAATTATTAATATATCTTTATAATATTGAACTTCATAATAAGTTGCAATAATTATTTTATTCTAGTGCATAAATTGATAGGTGTGTCGAGTTACAAAATGAAATAAATATTATTTAGAATATCAACGTAGTATCTTATTTACTCACCGATATCATTAAACGCCTTGCTATTTCAGTTATTGTTAGTTTTGTTTTGCTCATGCAAAACAATGGTTTCAGCCTTTTTAAATGTTGATAGGTGTTGGAACATCTTGTAAAAATAAAAATAACTTTGCACACGAATATGAGTAGTGTAGCAATAAACTATGAAATCCTCATAAATTGACAACTAAGAACGCAATTATTTTGTAAGTCGGGTGATTTGAAAAACATGTTTTAAATAGTCGGTAGTTACTTCATAAGCGTGTAAAATAAAATGACTCGAGATTTCTATGATCGCCACAAACATTGCAAATATACTCAGGTATCGAACCATTAAGAAATCACAGTTAATTACTTTTTTACTGTTTTTATCTTATTTAAGTTGGTTGAAATGCATGAAGCAAATGAGATTATTCTAAATAATAAATAACTAGAACTAAAATATAAATAAAAGATATTATAGGTATAAATAAATCTAAAGTATTTACTATTAAAATTAACATAAGATTTAGAACAATAGTAAAGGAAAAAAAAGAAAAGATTTAATTGTTTCTAATTTCAAATTTCAAATATTTGATTAATTAATTCTAAAACAACATGTGAATGTTGGAATCGATCCGGCGGCACTTTACTTGACAATTGGAGGCGATAACCATTGCGCCAAGCGCGCTGTAGATGAGATCATCAAAATATTTTATATCATTCAGTAACATAAAATTACAATGAGAAAGCACTATATTTATATGGGTATTGTATAGCTCGATCGTTCATTATTTTTGATTTCGATTTATTCAAAGTTTGTTATGAGTAATTTTATCTTTACCCTCGTTTTTATTTAAACTTATTTACTAAATTATTGCGTATACCGACACAAAAATGATTTTTAAATACCAAGATGTGTGTGATAGACGAATGTTTCTATACATATCTATTGATATGAAATTACCCACACATGTATATTGTGTAAATGATAGTTGTGTCGATGTGTAGCGCCGCTAACTAATTAGCGGTGCTTTGTGTACGTGTATACTTTGAGTACACAATATCAGCTGCTTTCACACTGTTACCATGCGTAACTTAAGCTTACACTTAAAAATGTAATTTGTTGAAAATGGAAGGTCGTATATTATAATATTTACGATCTAGTCCGCGTGCTGAACATATCAATAAAGCCATTCTTTACAATAATAAACTAAGTTGCTAAACAGATCTGAAAAACCTAGCGCAATATTAAAAAAAAAATTGGAGAAACTTTATGACAATACAAAATGAAGTATGTTCGCTACATAATCTTACATTGGTACCAAAAAAATGAACAATCGATATCCAACAAAAGTGTCCTTAACCTTACTATCACTGTAAGTGACAATCCAATAGATTGAAAGAATATCAGCAGTGCCCGCCCCCGTGGCACACAGAGTAGGGTGATTGCCCCAACAACTAGACGCCCCGGTCGCCGCTCAACTGGCGTAATCGCGATTTCTAAACGATTACCTTCACTTTACGCGCGACTTACGCACGATCAATTTATATTCAATTTTTTCAGGGACCATGTAGGAATGGGACAGTAATGCAAGGCCATTCAACAGTCCCAGGGACTTCAGAAGTTATATTCCTTATTTAAAAATATCCATCAATGATATTCTCTCTCTGTTTTTCAATAAAAATTGTTGGGGGCGAAGTAAATTTTTAGTGACTTCCAGAACGATATAAGAAAAACTTTAAATAGTCTGTCTGTATGCTTGAACGGAATAAACGACTGCTAAACAAATTTTCATTCAATTTTATCAATGGGTTGAGAAATTCTAAGAAGTATCTATAAGTAGTAGAACAGTGTAATGACATTTAGAAAAAATAGCAGGCGTTTGTACCACCATAATATTGTATCACATGAAACTACAAACTAAAAACATAGGTAAATTTAATCGTATATTGAATTGCAAGACGTAATCAATAGGAAATTTTAATAAAATGGCAAGAAAAGTAAGTAATCCAGTTTAAAAAACGAATCTTGTTGAATTTAAGGTACGGGCCTCACTCCGTGCTCCTGATTACATTGCCCCGAGGCTGCCTTGAGATTAGATCGCACCAAACGTCATCAAAAAACGCGATTACATCGAATTTATTCGATGAGCTCCCACCCTTATTTTATAATTGCAATGAAATGTGAAACGTATTCTAGTACTATTATTGTTGAAATTCATTTGTTTGATTGCTTTAGTTGTGATAAACTTATTTAGTTGATCTCCAAATATGAACTGCTGACCGAGAAACCTAAGTTCTATTCTCTATTATATTGATTGTGATTATACATAACTTCACGCCTGTATCCCATGGGGGTAGGCAGAGACTAGGAAACGCCAATTACTACGATTCCTACATACCTCTTTCGCTTCATCAACAGTCATCAATCTTTTCATGCATGCTCGTCGGTTATGGGTACTTTTAATTTGGCCCTTCTTTAATAATCTGGTCACTATATGTCCGTCTAGGGTGCCCTACCGACGGCCCCATTCATATCCGCTCTGTATACTTCTTCGTTACTCTACTTTCATCCATCCTTTCTACATGTCGAAACCAGTGTAACATTCCCTTTTCAATCCTTGTCACTACATCATCTCACCACATCAATCCACATCAATCCTTTTCTCTAATGACACTATTTTTCACTCGATCACTTAATTTTAGTCCACACATACTTCTCAGGGCTCCCATTTCCACCGCAATAATCCTGCCTTCTTCTGCCTCCCCCCCCCTTAATTATGTGTAGGTCATACCCGCCAATTATTATTAAAAGCTTTTTGTAAAGTACAAAATTAGTAATTACAATAACACAATTTGTTTCACCTCTTTACAATGAAACAGAAGTGCTATTACATTATTAAAATTCACGTAATGATTTCGGGTTAAACCGCCGAGTAAAAAATTATCAAAACAAAAAACAAATGAAACTTGAGCTTCATTTATTTTTTATCCCCAAACATTCCAGTAAAAGCCAAGTTGGAACGGTTAAAAGCTATCATTTTTCCATGTTTCTTTCTTTTCCCCTTCAAATTAATTAAATAAAAAAATAGAAAACAATTAGACATTATACTTTTTCTACTCAACTTCCTGTTACCATCACAAAAAGAAAAATAAGACAAAGGAAAATAAATTAAATTGTAATTTGAACGTTTTGGAAAAAAATTGTTTCCAACAAACGCCTAACGAGTTTATTCAATAAAAAATGGCCGCCTGTTACACCACACTGATTTTGATTAGTAATAAAACATATCAATGAGGGTTTTCGGGCTACTGACGCTAGCTTTAAGTTACGTGCGCGTCGATCAATAGAGGATCTACAAATTTTTTTTATGGGATAAGCCGGTAAACGCGCAGACGGTTCACCTGATGGTAGGCAATCGGCGCCGCCCATGGACACCTGAAATACCAAGGCGTTACAAGTGCGTTACCGGCCTTTTAGGAATTGGGAACATGAAGATTATGGAGGATTTGGGATTTGGGGATACTGGGTAGGAAGGGCAATTGGGCCTCCAATAACCTCACTCACACGACGAAACACACAACGCAAGCGTTGTTTCACGTCGGTTTTCTGAGAGGCCGTAGTCGAGCCGGCCCATTCGTGCCGAAGCATGGCTCCCCCACACTTAAGATAAATATTACGTAGTTAATCAATTTAAGGAACCTAGGCTGATAGGACCTATAGAACTTTACGTCTCACCAGCGCCATCTAGTAAGCGAACCGCAAACATTCATTCACGCTTGATATTATGTCAATACTGCTAAACGAAAAAATGTATGCAATATTATCGCATATGTCGGAAGGGATTTTATAGCATTTACTGAACATTGTCAAGTTTTTCATCATAACTTTAAAGAAATTTAATCACTATTGTATGTTACTGACACATAATTATATATTTCTATATATTGACTGCCTCGTTGGCCGAGTGGTCGCTATTGCGACTGCCGAGCAAGGGGTCTCGGGTTCGATTCCCGGGTCGGGCAAAGTATTACTGGGTTTTTAAAAAATTCTCAGTAGTAGCACGGAGTCTGGAACTGTGTCCGGTATATGGAAATAGGCTCACCCCCTATTACATGGGACTCATAACATAAATAGTGAAAAGTGGGTGTTACATTGTACAGTGGTATAATGTGCACCTCTGCCTACCCCTTTGAGGATAAAAGGCGTGATGTTTTGTTATGTTGTTCTATATATTTACTAGTACCGTGTAATAGTCGCCGGAAACTTGATTAAATAAAATTATTTATAAAACAAATGATACATAAAGGCATTTCTTTTAGTAAAATATTTTCTGAGAGTGACACCATCCTTACTCCGGAGACAGACTTATTAAATCAATTTATATTTGTGTTACAATATGACTAGATTTTATATTCGTGAATGTAGATATTTATTCCAGATTTGTGTATATTTATTTCCTCATACGATCTCATATTGGGTGTGTCTGTGTATTATTTATTTATTTATCTTTAAATCACACAGGTAAGTATGTTATAATTTAAGCCCCACAAAACCGTTGCAATGGTTTGACTATGGGGTCGAGTCACTTGTCATTACAATTAAATGTACTTATATTATTACAAGAAACTTATATAAAATTTAAGACATTTCTAGGTAATATGACTTTAATTTTCGTTTATACCTATTTGAATTTGTTTCACTGCTTATGTCTGTCGGCAGACTATTCAATAGATATGATATTATCTTTTTTAGTGTTCTATCACCAAAATAGTTGGTGACTCTGGGTACATTGTATCTACCAGCAGCCATAGTTCGTGTGTTATGGTTGTTCTTTACATAAGATAAGTCATGCTCCTGGGTACGGTGGTGGTTAACAAATAAAAGATATTTATGTTTGAACGTAATTGGCAGAATCTTGCATATTTTAAATATTTTTCTATAGTCCTATACGACAGTGTATAGTAAGATTCTCGTGGTGTTCCGGAGGTTTCAGACGCTCGCTTCTCATGCATAAGAGTCTGAGTTCGAAACCTACTAACGGCAAGTAATTCCTTATGATTATTTTGTAAAAGCTAGGTTTCGAATTAGGTTTTGGTTTAAATATAAGCTTACATAAGTTTTCGTAGACGACACTATTTGGAAGAACCCAAGTGCTGCCATTGCAATAAAAGTAGATGCACTGCAAGTAATCCTTAATGTCTATCTCAGATAACGAAATCCTAGCTTGTCCGTTCTCGAATACTATAAAAATACAATTTGCACAAATCCGTACACAAGCATGCAGGATACAAAATAAGGTTGCAGAACTGGTTTCAAATTAAAAAAAACAATGCAATTCCAAATTCAAAATCACCCTTTGATTCGTCACCCAACGATCCGCCATTGCCGGCGACGTCTCCCTCAGAGCGCACGTCTAAAATCAACGCGGCACGTAGCCATGATTTTCTTTTTTCTCTGTTTCCCACAAAATTTGCTTGCGAACATGCTACGAGCCGTTTGTCTTACTCCAAGGAACCGTAAATCCGTGACTGAAATAACTTGGCGACAGTTTTCTTGGGGAAAATACCTTATTGAGTTCCGAAATGCCGTTGAGAATATGAACTGTCATACACAGTGAATTCTATCTACTGTTCCCAACAGAAAGGATTTCGCTTAAGTTTATCTTTATTGGAGGATTTGTGATATTAGAATATTCAAATTTATTAACGGCTTTACCTCCCTGTTGAGCCCCAGAGCTCAAAGTTCAGAATTAAAAGGATAATGTGCTTATGATTTAGAATGTTGTTCATACAGTTTATTGTTTGAACGTAAATATTTTATTGATAAACACTCCTCTCAACTCTGAGCCATTTCCTAGAAGCGGAATATTCTGTAGTTGTTTTTATGGTGTGGAAAACCACTAAAACGAGCTTTTCTTAAATTCCCGCGGGAACATAAAAAAGGGTGATTCGCGTAAAGAACAAAGTCATGTTTGTGACGAGGCCTCGTCGTAAATGAAATTGCAGTTTTTATTTTCAATAAAAAATAATAAAAAGAAAAATCTGCTATTCATAGATGATTGATTGCTCGCTATTGTCTCACGAAAAAATAATCTCACTTAATGAACCTTTTTAAAGTACTTTAAAATATTTTTTACGAAATTAATCATAATCCCGTGTACAATGTACATTTCTTAACAAAACCTGAATAACTTTGTTCTCGAAAACAATAACCGCCATGAATCAACAGTCTACACTTGAGAAATTAAAAATAACTAAAAAAGAATTCAATTGTCATTCTCGACATGCGAGCTTGGGGCGCGAGGATGTTTCTTTGCACGTCGTAAAAATGTCCCTCCCTTACCCTTCTCCCACCCTCTGGGTAACATCGTCCCATCCCCCTTTTGAGAGGAGACAAAAGAAATAGCGCGTGACGTGAATGGGCCCCGACACGGATTGATGTCCACGGACTAAGCAGGTTTTTTAATAAAAAAATTGGCGCGAAACGATAAATGACGTTCTTAGATTTTATGAAGGCTTTGTTAATAGGGTATACCCCATAGAGTAGCTATACCTTTTTGTAACAGTCGGGCATTACCTTTCTTTTATGGTAAATTATTTTTACGATGAAAGTTGTGCGTGTTTAGAATACAGTACATGTTTACGGCCATACAAAAGTGAAGCAGTTTTCACATAGTTCTATATCTTGTGCTATTCGCGTGAAGCTTGTAAAATCAAACAAGTCGAAAACTATTAAAAAAATCAAAAAATAAACGTGTAATCTGACTGCACGATTGGTGCGGTGGCTGGAGGACCAGCTGCAGCAAAAAAACACAATGTTTATCTTAATTTTGTACTTAAAGCACAACACAACTGTGTTTACTTCGAAACAAAAACCAATTGCCTAAAATCCTTTCCGATAATGGCAATAATGCCATCTGAATATCGCAAAGCACTTCCATCCGCAAAATTATTAATGCTGCGAACACCAAAGATAAACAATATGTCCGAACCTATACACAATGTAGCCACAGCTTTATATAATACTTACCACAGACTATTAATTAAATTGATCCCAAGGCTATTGGGAAATTGGAACGGGAAATGTATCTTTTTTTTTCAACGATAATACTTGTTTATTGGATCCTTGAGGCTATTTAATATTTATATACGCAATAATTACTCGACTGAATTATTTTGATAGAATAATTTCTTTACATGATTTGAATATTTTAAATGTCAAAGAGGTTGGTAACTGTTAATAAAATATTGGCTGGTTATAAATAGAATCAATCTGTTTTTATTTATATTCCATATTTGAACATGGTAAAAAAAATTTTGCTTTGATGATCATACCGCTAATTGATGGGTGTTTGCTTTAATTTATTTTTATAAAAAAGTGTACTGATTTGTAACTTATTTGGTTTTGTTTTTTGATATAATTATACAGTGTGTGTACACAAAGTCACACTGCATACCTTCTATAATTATTTAAGTAATAATTTGAGTTGAAATATGATTTATTCAATTATTATTCTGATTACTTAATTACAATAGTTTTACTATCTATCAACCAATGATATTATAAATAATAAAAAGAGGTAGATATCGCACTGGCACGCAAAAATTGTTGCGAACGAATTCAGACAATTGTCGTAATTTTATAATAGCTATCTCTTTCTGTACCATACTTTCCGTATTATCTGTCGCACGTAGTTGAAAATGACATTTAAGTACATTTGTAATAAGAACGCAACAATTTTTGGACGCCGCTTAGTATGAACGTAGCGTATCTTCTTTATAATATCATTACTATCAACATAACATGATAGTCTACTGCCTATGGACATTCTCTACATAACTAAGAAATTAGTTTTGATTAGCGAATGAGTGATTCGCGAATTAATATCCATAAAGTCATAATTATTGAACAAATCATATTCGATAGAAGGTACTATTTGTAATGTATATAGTAAATTTCTGCGAACAATTACATCGATTTCATTTAGTACAATAATCTCATTGTTAATATTGCGGTGACACTTTATCGATAAACCTGTCAATAGTCAATAGGTATCTATATTATCATGTAACTAATAGTATCTGTGGCTTTGCCCATAGCAAAATGTTTTGAGTTTATGTTTGGGGACTATTATAATCTATGTGTCAGTTTATTTCGGTTTAATTTATTATTCATGATGACTTATTGGTCAACTGTAGCGTAGGTGGAGTAGCTGCTAGTATGTCTGCCGAGAGGAGAATTAGTTTTTTTTATGGTATAAATCAGTAAACAAACAGACGGATGATAAGCAATCGGGCGTCGCCTATGGATACCTGGAACACCAAAGACTTTGCAAGTGCGTTACTGACCTTTTGGGATTAGGAATTTGAGGATTGTTAGGGATTCAGGGATTGGGGAAGGGTGGGGGGAGGGGTTAATTGGGCCTCCGGTAACCTCACTCGCACGACACATAACGCTAGGGTTGCTTCACGTCGGTTTTCTGTGAGGCAGTGGTATCACTCCGGACCAGCCGGGCCCATGGCTCTCCCAC